TTGAATTTCACGGGCTTGTGGGTCCTGCATGGAAGGCGAGGTCTGCAGATCTCCGGGAAGGACTTTTTCCCCATTGCCATGTAGAAATACAAATATTTTTCCTTTTGCCCCATTGCTGCGTGGAAAGACAAGTGGTTTTTTCCATGTGCTGCCCACGCGCGGCAGCAGCGTGGCCGTGGGTGCGGGGGGCTAGCGGAGGCGGGCGGCCATCCCCAGGGAGCCAGGGCTCCTCCCTCCCTGCTGCTGATTTCTGATCCCATTTCTAGGTAAATACTTGGCCGATAACTGATAGAAGATTATGCAAGTCTATGGAAAATAATATGGAAAATACCCAAGGACTGCTGTGCGTGGAACGGGTTTTAATTACAGTTTAAGGAAAACGAACTAAATCCTGCACTCGGGACATTTCTGTTGGAAGTGTCGACAACTTTCAACATTTTTTTTTCCTTGGAAAACACCGTCTTGACCAGTCCTACAGTATTTACTTCTAGATGTAACATTGTTAATGGTTTTAAAATGTAATTATTGTATTTGTAAATTGTACTCATTCCAGTAAGGCTGTATTTTGGCAGTTAGACACTTGAGTTTTAGCATTTTACCATTCATGAAATGGATGTAATTTAAACTGTGGTATATAAATTTAATAGTAGTACTGTTGAATGGCACAATGCTTACAGAGGTAGATTACATTTTGTCAATATATACGATTTAACTACAATACTGATAGCTGTTATGAAGGGGGTGCCTCATAAAGAGAGAGTGGAGTAGAACTGACACGCTGATTTACTTTTCTTCAGCCCTTAGTATGTCTCACGGTGACAAATAAAAAGCTGTCTTCAAGTTTAGCTGGTTTAACTCCAGAAAAATATTGCTGTAAATGTGGAGGTTCCTAATACAGTCTCCCAGCAAATAAAAAAGCAGGAGTCCCAGTAGCACATGCACGGGGGACGAGCGCTTCTCCTTGCCCCATGCCCTGACATTTTGCAGAGATGCAGGCAAGGCAATAAGCAGGCAAAGAGGCTGGGCAGCACCCCGAAGCTTACAGCCCTGACAGGAGAAGTGATCTCTGTTTTTAAGGACACATTTTCCAAGCAGCCTCTGGATTTTTGGTTGCATTTCTGCATTCTGTTGGTCCCTTTTTCTGTTTCTTCCCCTTCATTTTTGAAAGGCCTGTGGGCTTAGAAAATGCTTTACAGACATTCAGAAGCCACTCATAAATAAAAGTGGAGGCTAAACTGGAGGAAAAATTGTCCCTCTGTGCTTTCCCTGAGGAGATGCGGGCTCGGAGCCGGGCTCCTGCGCTGCGTGCTGCTCCTCTCTGTGCATCTCCTGTGCAGTCTGCAGCATCTGATTCCCGGCTGGCCTTCTGAGAGCGTTCGTGGCATTAATAGAGCAGCATCTGCCAAGGGCAGTGCTTGTTTTAATGGGAGAATTCGGCAATATGGGGGAAAAAATTTAATCTTTTCAAAATGAAATGCAGTTGCTGTTCAGATGCACAGAGAAGCACAGGAGCATCCACTGAACAGAGTGCTGGGGACTCTAGAAATGTGTAAGGTGACAAATACTGCTAATTTACAGTCACAAATGTTGCCAGGATTAGGCTTGTGCACTTGCACTGGAAAACTTTGTGCATGTTGGGAAGTGCTTTCTCACAGAGCCATTTGGAGTGATGTAAGAAAACAGAAATCCGTGCTCATCTTAAAAGAAAACAAGGAAATTTGGAGATATTTTGGTTCTGAGATGACTCTTGGACTAAGATGTGTGTAAGAGGGTGGTTGAGTTGTGTGTGTTCACGAAAGGTATCAACCCAGAAGGTGAAGCACAACTCGCTTATGCAACTTCATACTTTGCAGTTTTTGAAAGCAAACTTGCCAGTACTCCTGGATGGAGTGTTCAACTCCGTTTCCCCTGAACTAGAAATATGTACAAACCGTGTAACCTGTCCCTTTCTGACACAGGAATACAGGGCAAAAGTGAAGAATCAGTTTTTGCGTAATTGTTTCATGCTGTGTAGAATTGTTATAAACTCATGCTTCCAAGAGAGATCTATGTCATAGTCCTGAAAAATAAGGATTTTATAATGTAAATATTACCAGAACATAGATATTTTACTTTATATTTCATTTGAAAGACAAGGTGTTTACATTAGAATTGGGTTTTTAAATGCTTTTTAAACAAACAAGCAAACAAGAAAAACCCCATAACCCAAAGGTCCCAAGCTTGTCCCATTTGTGCTGTCCCACAAAACAGAGGTCACCAGCACGTGCGTGGCAGTGCTGGGATGCAGCCCCCGTGGCCTGGCTAGAGAGATGAGAAAGTCCTTTGCCCTTTCCAGGGCGAATCGCCTGGCAGACCTGAATTCGACGTGCCACCACGCTTGCAGACAGGGACCCGGTCCCCAACAGCCACCGCAGGTGACACAAAACAGTTATTCCCAACCTGCAACACTGGCACCAAAACCAGCGGACTGGGGCAGGTTTTTTGCATACTGCTTTTGCCGATTTTTCATGTCGTATTTCGGTTCTCTTGGTGTTTGTTTGCTCAGGAGTGTTGAACTGCATGTCCCTGCTTTCCCCCCCTCCCACCCCCCCAGCACAACCGCCCTTCTGGACCCCTTGGCAAGAGGCTCTGTGTTTAGGTGCAGCTCCATGTTGATGGTTTAGTTTTCCTGTCCTCTTTGATGCCTGAGCAGAGAGGCAGAGTGGCAGAGTCCCCCAGGAATGCTTATTTTTTTGAGTCTTATATGCCATCCAAGCGTGGCACCCTGGCTTTACCCACCGTGGGGGGGGAACAGACCAGTTGCGTTTTTAAGTCTGAAGCGGAGGAGCCTGGTTTTCCTTCTGCCCGGCTTTGCGAAGGCGTCAACAGAAAAATCGATTATGGGCAGCAGCTTGGGACATATCAGACAAATTTAGAGCACCAAATGGGCACATGGAGGGATGTTTATCCTCAATTCCAGCTTCTGCAGTAGCGGCGAGAGCCCCTGGCTCTGGAGAAGGCATGGGAGATGCGCTGCCCTGTTGCATCCAGGGCACTCCAGCTCCACAGGCTTCACCTCTGCTTTTAGCCAGGAAAAGCTTATTTTTTCTTCTCTTCAGGGAATGCATCTGTTCAGTGCTCCCTGCCCGCTAGCAGAGAGCAGCTAGGTCAGCAGGGAGTGGGAAAGGCAGCAGCGATTCAGTCGCCTGTATCTCTAGAGCTAAGCATCAGCGCCTTGTCTTTGAGCATGGCACCCTGCAGGTCTTTTGCCAAGTCAGGCTGTAATGGGGGTTCAGCGCCCCAGCACTGCCCAGCACCCTTTAACTCAGCAGCACCCCTAATCTAAGTATCCGAGTGAAAAAAAAAGATGATAAATAAAGGAGGTGTTCAGGTAAGAACGAGGACTGAATGCAGAGAAAGGCTTTAGCTGGTTACTCCCAAGAGCCTGTCTGTTTAGACTGTGCCCTCAGCCACCTCTCCCCTGAGGGGTTTTCTTCTGGGGTCCCCGGTAGCTGCCAGCAAGGTCAAGGTGCCCGCTGACAGAGCAGGAGTGATTTTTCCCCATGGACACCCGCAGACTTGGGCCTTTAGAAGTTAGGAACAGGATATCTTTTTGTTTACAGCTTTTCTTCTTCTGTTCGTTGCAAATATTCACGATTCTCAGCTGGCTTACGGTGCTCCTCACAGAGGATATTTCAAACTATTTTTCTATTTTAATGATATTTCTTAATAATGATAAAATTGCTCAATGGTATGAGATACTACGAGGTAATAAGCATTCCATTTGGCATTTGCCTTTGTTCTTAAGTATCAGTCCACTGTCATAAAGTTTCTTCTTATTTTTTCTGCAAGGGCACTGTCCATCAAACTCCTATTCCTGCCCAGCTGGCACGAGTCCTCGGTGCTATGTGCGTGGCTTCACTCACAAAAGCTTTGTCACACGAGTGTGTTCTCATACCAAGGAAGTTACACAACTCCCGATGCAGGCTGGTCTTAAAGGTGTCGATGCTGTTATTCACTCAATTTCATCTTCATATGCTCTTTTAGGATTTATCTGTTAGAGGTTTTTAAAAACAGAGGTGGGAAAAGAAGAAAGCTGATGTTAAAATGAGATCCCATTTTGGCGGGGCAGGGAGGGGCTGGGGAGGGAAAGCAGTTTCCCATGCAGAGCAGGGGTATCTCACACAGCAGTGCCGGGGGTTTGGGCTGCATGGGGAACACCAGCAAAATATGCTGCTTAAACTTATCATTTTGAAGCCACGCAGACCTGCAGGTGAGACCCACTCGCCTTTTCCTTTTAATGGGGTCACAGAGACCTGGGGTAGCTGTTTAGTGCCTGGTTGTAAAACTTGGTCAGTTCTTGCACGGGTGATTATTTTTCCACTGAGGTCCCTGCTGAGACCTTACCAGGCTGCCCACACTGCCACAAGTCATGCTTGTATTCGCTTACCTAATTCCGGATGATCCAGACCAGCCAGCGATGGCACTCTGTCAAACCAGCTGCAGAGATTCCTGCAGGACGAGCATCACGTGAAGAGTCACCACTTCACTTTCTTGCAGCGGAAGCATTTTTAAATGGCTGGGCTGCAATGAAAAGGCATCATATTTTTAAATGACCTAAGAGTCAGACACCTTTCACTAGAAACGTTTGGCCCTCCTCAGAACTCTCCCTCAGCTCCCCACCTCCTTCAGCAGCAGCGCGGTTTCTATGCCCACCAGGTACATGGTGTGGTTCTGTGTCACAGAGGAATCCTCCTCTGTTTTACCTGTTTTTTTTGGAAATATGGCCCACGGGTCTCTTACCCAAACACCTAACATCTACTTGAAAAAGCCACCTCAATACACTGAATATGGAGTGATATTTTTTTCCCTCCCCTTTTGCTGGTTTTATGTGAAAATGCCTTGTTTAAAAACTTAGTTTTGATGCTTACCATGACCAAAATACGTAACATCATCGCGCTGTAAGATTACTGTCTCAAAGATTTCATTTCATAGCCAGAATTATTCTTTTCTTATTTTTCTCACAATTTCCCAAGGAAAGTAATTCTTGCAGAGCCGGTGAATATTTATGATCATCAGTATTTTTATTCTTATTTCACTGCAAGGCGAGAAAAAGATCTGCAGAAGTACCCTCCCTCCTCCTGCGTGACCTCCCCTACCACTTTAGGAGGGGCTGCAGACAGTGCTGCTGACAACGGTTCTTAAAATCGCGTTAGCATGGTGATGCTCTCCGAAGGGTTGCACACAACCAGGACTTCACTACAGGCCAAGCAGTATGGGATAAAACACGGCAGGTTTTAGCAAGGTGTTCAGATTATCTTATTCCTCCGTTAGAAATCCCTCTCCCTCTGGACACAGGGCGTATCGCTGCGGACATGTCATCCTGCTGCTGGGTTTGTAATCCACGCAGGAGGAGTTTTCCACTCCAAAACGCCCTCGGGTTGATGAAAACACATGGTTGCTTTGAGGCATAGCTGTATGAAAATGTTAGTCGTGGTCTGAGAGAGGAATCGGGTCGGGCACCAGGCGCAGGAGAACCTCGCCGTGACACCTCTGAACCCGGAGGGAGCCCCAGAAGTGAACTGGACATCCCAGGGTATTGCCCTTTATCATTTTATGAACTCCCTCGTGTATAAAATGTTTATAAATATTTGTGGATTAAGATACACAGGTCTATTTTTAAGATTTAAGTTAAATAAGTTAATTAATGGCTGGCCTTTTTTGCCTAAACGTGCAATGAGATATATTATACCTTTAGTCTACGATGGCCTAGGTACTG